AAGCGGTCAGTTTTGAAAATCCCGAAACTTTCCTCCTTTACTTATAGTGCTTTTTATTTGAAGCAGTTGTGGTCACCCTTTACTAAGTCCCAACAGCCTATTTGTAATGTTTCCCACCTTTATTGAACGGTCACTAAAGCGGAAGTAATCAAATAAAATTAAGAATAATCTTTCAAGTAAAATTGAATCCATGTTTATCTCCCGAAATCAATGTTAGTAATATTTTTGAGCGAGGTTGTGTATATCAAGTGGTCCGTGATGGCATAGAATGGCGTTTTTTAACTTCAATCGATAGTAACCCTATTCTGTGGAACCTATATTAAATGGTCAACCATTTTCCGTGCGTGACCGCTAAATACAGGTTCGACTGTAACAAGCTTACAGAGTCAAATGAATTTACAATAACTCCGGAAATGCTTACGAATTATTATAGCTTTTAATAAGATAAAAGCAAGGTTATGTAATTCATGAACGGTAGGAAACAAGAAGGTACAAACAGAGCATATATTTAAAAAAAACTGTCTCAAATATCTATTTGACCGACTATTAGGTATTATAACAGGTGGAATTTCTAGGCTTAATTGCGTCTCTACTTTTGTAAGTTGTCTGTAAACAATTGCGCGGTTGAATGCTCGTGATGAGCAGCGTTTTCCTAACCAAATAATTTTTTCAACGAGGATGAATTTATTTTGTAAATTTCATGTTCAATACAGTGAACAATACGGCTAACTGACATTTTTGGCAAGTATGGATCATATGGAGTTTAGTTACCTAATTTTTTTTTTTTAGGTAGACCAAATGCATTATAATTTGCGCTGGTAATATAACACCAAGTATACAACAATTCTATATGTGGATGTTTACCACATAATTAATTGTCTCTCTTGACATGCAAAGTTTGTTTGTTTATCTAATTTTTGTGTGGTTTCCTAGCAATCTCCGGAGAGAAAGGAAGGAAGGCCCTGCTGAGAGAGATCGAGTTATTAAAACTCTTTGGAAGGGAGGGCCATGAAAATGTTGTTAAGTTCATTGGTTGTGTCACAGTTGGAGGTAATCAGCTATTGTTATGATTATAATCAGCTAATTCACAGCAACGATAGAGACATCTCTGAGTTCAACCACTGGTACAATTACTTCTATCAGTATTCTTAGTCCTTACTAAGATGGTGTACTAATTCAATGGTTATTTTCAATTTTTTGACTGTTTTAAATGAATTTACTTCGCACTGTATGAGGGGCATTTTACTTGGAAGATGTTAGCTCTAAAATCTACATGCTAATTGTGATAAAAACTTCAACTTACGATGGCAAGTCTTTGTCTATTTATCTGCCATCTCTGTTTTTTTTCTGTCTGTCTGTAGATTTCTATCGGCCGTATGTGTCCGTCTATTTTCTATCTGTGTGTTTTCTTCTTTCACTTTCCCTCTCTGTCTCTACTTTGATTCATTACAGATATAACCTGAGGTATAACTAGATAAAGCATGTACAATTCAAACACGTTTTGGAACTTCTGCACTGCTTGCCGTAAAATAATTTTCTTGTTTTTCCCTTTTAGCTCAGCCAATACTTATCATGGAGTACCTGTGGCGAGGTGACTTGCTGGGTTATCTCAGAAAATCCAGGGGGGTTTTCGACCAATATCATCATGGGGTCGGAGGGGTCGACCACTTGACAACATATGACATGGTGCTGTTTGCTAAACAGATCGCACATGGTATGACTTTCCTCGCGTCCAGAGGGGTAAGTGCTCAAACTCTTTCTGGTCAGCATGTGGTCCTGCATGTGATAAAATGGCATGACTTGCAAATCGTCAAAGTAATACTCCATACGGCTAAAAATATCCAGCACATTAGAGTCACTATTTCACAGAGAAATGGTCTGACATTAGCATGATGTTAAACTTTCTACCTATATTTTACTTTTTTTTATTTTATGTAGTTTATAAAAGTCCCTTTTAGCAGATCATATAATTATTTGTTTTCGATTTCAGATAATTCATCGCGATCTTGCAGCTCGTAACATCCTTCTTGATGAGCATCGTGTCTGCAAGTTGACTGACTTTGGGCTCTCTTATCAGGATTTCAAATACGGCCCAGGAAATGCCAAGAAGGTAATTTTCAGAATTTTTTCATCATTTAGTCAATTGGTTTTGGGGCTGCTGGTATGGAAGATAAAAATGTGAAGAATTAAAATATTACTGTCCTTACAAACCTTTCTTTTCAGTTATACAGTCTTACTGCAAAACATATTTCCCTTTAATGGGAAGCCATTCTAAGCGTATCGAAGCTTTCACAGAAAAAAAAAAAATTGTCCCTATGGAGTGAACACAGGAAATAAGAAAGCCGGAAGAGATATCGTTCTCTGAATAACAAAGATACAAACTCGAAGGGCAAAGTAACAGAAAAATTTAAAGCAAAAGGAGTGTGTGAATTGTTTTCATAGAATTTGTACAAAGGTGTCTACTGCTATTGACTTTATCGTGAATCCTCACATCACGGTT